CTCAGGTCGTGGAGGCATCGTCCGTGTGAGGTAGATCGGGCGCGCCGACACTGCGATCGCCAACAAATGGGACGCAATCTGTGGGTGGTCAAGCAGAGGAAGCCAGGGGACAGGTGCATGCAGCTCCGTCAGCCGGCGACGCAGGCTAGCCACCTCCCAGTCCTCCTCCCCAATGGGGACCCCTACCACAGTGAGCCCCGTCCATGTCTGCTGCATGCCGGGCGGGACGGTCTCATTTCTCTCCTCCCCATCCTGGTCCCTCCCTCGCTCCCATAGCTTACACTTATGCGGCTGCACCTCCAAACCCAGCCCGTCCAATCGTTCCCGCAAGGCCTCATAGGCTGCTAAAACCCGCTCCCTAGGTCCCAAGATATACGTATCATCAGCATAGCTGAGGAAGAGTAAGTCGGCGAACTCTGTTTTGGTTGGTTCCATAACCAGCTGCTGTGTGAACGCGAACAGAAACGGACCCAATGGGTCCCCTTGCCTCGAGCCCCGCTCGGAGGCCAAAGCTTCGACAAAAGGGCCCGCACGGAGATAGAGGTCGCTAGGAGTGCCGTAGAAGACACGCAGAAATGGAATCAATCCCTTGAAAGGCGACTGTCGAAGACCCTCAAACATTTCCCGCCGATGGAAGGAGTTGAAAGCGTTCGCCACGTCAATTTGCAGCGCGCACCACGACGGGTGAGTAGAGATGGCGGAGCGAAAGGCATGTGCGAGGACTTCCACTCCCGACCTGGACCCGACTCCAAACTGGTTACACGGAGCAAAGTGCGACATCATCTTCGGGCGAAGCACGATGCATATGGCCCGAGATAGTATGCGGGGGAGCACCTCGCCTATAGCCACCGGGCGAACGTCACCATTCGGCTTCGACAGGCCCACCAAGTTGGACGCAGTGAGCCAGGGTCGCACGCGCTCCGCTACCTCTCCCTTGGTCCACTGGGTGAAGACCTCTAGCAGGTGGGACAGATACGCGGGCTCAGAGAGAAAAGTGTCGCGCAGGTGCTCCGTCACCCACCCCGACGGTCCTGGTGCGGACGCCCTAGCCGCTGAGTGGATCGCCTGGCCGAGTACCTCCACTGAGAGCTGTGGGATAAGGGAAGGCTCGACTGTCTCCTCCTGCACCCACCCAGGAATGGCGGTCTCGCACGATGGGTGTTTCGCTCGTAGCGCGTCCACCATGTGCTGAGAGGGCTGAGCGATGCTACCAGCGGTAAGACACGCCAAACCCCGACTCCATTCTCCCACTTTGCACCTTGTACGGCAGCGGGATAGGCGCACGGCATCAGGATCATGCTCGGGTGGGGTGAAGGACAAGGGGCGAGCCGCAGGTTGCATCGCCGCCACCGCCAACTCAAACAGCTGCTGCCACTCCCCAGCCCAAAACTTCTCCAACCGCTCCCTAATTGCCGCCCTCTGCCCCTGGCCTTGCCCGGTTGGAATCCCCAAGAAAAGACGAGGGAAGGCCAAAAACACCAAGGATGCCGCCTCGTCTGCTGCCTTTGACTTGAGCCGCTTCAGGATACAAGCTAGTGCATCAAGCACCCCCAGTCTTGCGCGCTGTGGGATGCGACGCATGATTCTCCCTGGCACCAATTCGATCCCGAAAAACGACTCCCAGTCCCATGTGGGAACTGCGGCCCACACCTCTTCACTGATATCCCGTGGTGGCGGAGGTTCGCTGTCCGAGTCGTCTGTGACGTCGCGGGTCAACCCAAGCGCCTGTGCACGGCGCTTGGCGTCCGCTGCCCTGCAGGCCGACATATGACGCGTGGCCTTTCCTCTCTCCGTGAAAGTGCGATAACAGGTTTCGCACGGGATGCGGGGCGGGGGTGTCAGCATAGGGTCTGGGTGCTCCTCTCCACTCAAACATGCCGGCAAGACCTGTCTGCTCGCCTCCATCTCCATCTCCCCCTCTGGCAGCCTCGCAAGTTGCAGCCCATCGGGCAGCTCCTGCTGCCCTCTGCTCTGCAGCTGCTGCTGCCCTCCGCTCTGCAGCTGCTGCTGCCCTCCGCTCTGCAGCTGCTGCTGCCCTCCGCTCTGATTGGGCTGCTGCCCTCCACTCTGCAGCTGCTGCTGCCCTCCGCTCTGCAGCTGCTGCTGCCCTCCGCTCTGCAGCTGCTGCTGCCCTCCGCTCTGATTGGGCTGCTGCCCTCCGCCCTGCAGCTCATGCTGCCCTCCACTCTGCAGCTGCTGCTGCCCTCCGCTCTGCAGTTGCTGCTGCCCTCCGCTCTGATTGGGCTGCTGCCCTCCGCTCTGCAGCTGCTGCTGCCCTCCGCTCTGATTGGGCTGCTGCCCTCCGCTCTGCAGCTGCTGCTGCCCTCCGCTCTGCAGCTCCTGCTGCCCTCCGCTCTGATTGGGCTGCTGCCCTCCGCTCTGCAGCTGCTGCTGCCCTCCGCTCTGATTGGGCTGCTGCCCTCCGCTCTGCAGCTCCTGCTGCCCTCCGCTCTGCAGCTGCTGCTGCCCTCCGCTCTGCAGCTCCTGCTGCCCTCCGCTCTGATTGGGCTGCTGCCCTCCGCTCTGCAGCTCCTGCTGCCCTCCGCTCTGCAGCTGCTGCTGCCCTCCGCTCTGCAGCTGCTGCTGCCCTCCGCTCTGCAGCTGCTGCTGCCCTCCGCTCTGATTGGGCTGCTGCCCTCCGCTCTGCAGCTCCTGCTGCCCTCCGCTCTGCAGCTGCTGCTGCCCTCCCCTCTGCAGCTGTAGCAGTTTGGTTGCCCGTCGCCTCCGGCCCCGCCCCCGCACTCGGGGCCTTTCCGCTTGGTCCGAGGAGTCGGGGTTGGCATTCTCACCCTCCATGGGGCTTGATTCCAGCTCGTCGGTGTATGCCTCGGCCTCTATCTCCACATCCAACTCCCCCAGTGGGTCTTGCTGCCCTCCGCTCTGCAGCTCCTGCTGCCCTCCACCGGACTCGCACGTGACAGCGCAGCTTCTCCCGCCTCTTCCTCTCCCGCGCGACCCCCGCCGTTATCATCATGTGGATGCGCGCGGCCTCTCCAGCCGGACTCCTGCTCCTCGCCCTTGCCCTCATCTGCGGTTAGTCCGCTTCTCTCTCATCCCTCTCAAAACTTGTCACTCGCGGCCAGTTCATGCCTTGATTCGCAAGCTTTCGGATTCCCTCCCTCCTGCTCGGCGCTTTTGTTTACCACCTCCTTTCTAATTTCAGCTCTTTTCTCTCTCCGCGCTCTCTCCTCTCCGAATTTAACTCTTTCTTCCACTCGCTGTACATCCTCTCCCCTGTCCGTTGCAGCAGTTCAGCTGAAGGCAGCGTATGGGGATGGATCGGTGGCGGTCACAGCGAGCAGGAAGGTGAATCCGAGGATTCTGCTCCAGCCCACTACCACCAACCCTGATGCCACCGCCAGCACCACTGACGGCAGCAGCACCGGCGGCAGCACCACCGGCGGCAGCACTGCTGCCACAGGCGGCAGCAGCACCGGCAGCAGCACGGGTGGGGTGTGGAACGGGCAGGTTACCACAACGGTGGCGGTGGGAAGGGCGAAGCTGAGCTTCGGCAGGCAGCGCTGCGTGAGCGTGCCCGCCAAGGCGGCGAGGCAGAGGAGCGTGCAGGTGTGGTGGAAGGGCCGCGGGGGCTCCAACAACGGAGATTCGAGCTACGGGTATGGGGGTTCGGGCAGCGCAGCAGGGGGTGTCCCGTGCGCGCTGGTGAAGTTCTTCGGGAACAGCAGCTGCCAGGGCGAGGCGGTGGATAGCATCGTCAGCCCGAACACCAATACTGCTGCGGTCAGGTGAGTGAAGGGTGGTGTGTATGTATGATGCATTGGTGAGTTGTTCGGGCCGTGTCAGCCCGAACGACACGACTGCTGCCGTCAAGTCAAGTGAGTGGCGCGTGGTGTGTATGTATGATGTATCAGTGAGTTGTTCGGGCCGTGTCAGCCCGGACACTACTTCTATCAGTAGAGTGGTGCCATGTGAGTGTTGGGATGTTTGTCGGTGTGAGTTTGGGTGGTGTGTCCTTGTGTGAGGCACAGCAAGAGGATACGAGCCGCTAATGACTCTGAGAGGTGAGGGGAGGAGCGGGGAGGGGAGGGGAATTGAGTGGAGGGGAGGGCAGAGGAGGCGAGGAAGTAACGAGAGCGTTGACATCTCTTGTGTTTCCACGTGCCACGCCCTTCAGGTTCCCAAGCACCAAGAAGAAGCTCCCAGCGCGGGCGTCAGTGGCATCTGTTCTCTGCGTCGGTACGTTCATTGCTGCGCCAAGGAAAGGAAAGGGAAAGGGACCATGGGAAAGGGACCCGCTTATATGGTGCTTTTCTCTGCAGCAATTGAAGCCTTAGTGATTGACCTTAGTATGACATTATTCAGTCCACAGCAACCCAACACCAGCGTCCTCTTGCCACAGATGCAGCCTATGTCAATCCGAGGCCCTTAGGCATTTATTTGCAGCAGTACCATATCTTTGTTTGTTGCCCCTTTCTGTTCGCCTCTTCTGCAGATCCTGCCTGCGCGGCGTTGGGCTGTGAGCCTGATGGCACCTGTGAGGTGGATCAAAACGGAGAGCGCTACTGCAAGTGGGGTGAGTGAGTGACTTTCCCAGCAGTGGGGTGAGCATTGCTTTCCCGGCAGTGGGGTGAGCATGGTATCTCAACCCCATGACGTCCAGCCCCGTACCTCATCATGCTTTCATATACCAACCCATGCCATCAGTCATGCATTGTCTGTCAATCCCAAGCCATTCAGCCCCATAACTCATGCATGTGAAAATAGTACCCATGCCATTCAGCCCCATAACTCATGCATGTGAAAATCGTACCCATGCCATTCAGCCCCATAACTCATGCATGTGAAAATCGTACCCATGTCATTCAGCCCCATACCTCATGCATGTGAAAATCATACCCAAGCCATCCAGCCCCATACCCCATGCATTCGTCTTGTATAGACCCCATGCGATGCAGCCTCACGCCTCGTGCGATCCTGTGATTTTCAACTCAATGCCATTGTCCTCCCTCATAAGGGAATGAGGTTTGACTCACTGTCTGTCAGCCTTCCCCCCGCCCCTCTCGTTGCTTTGAGGATCGACTCGGATGTATTGCATAGCAAAAATTCTCACCTCTCTCCCCTCTGCCCTCCTCACTCCTCCCTTGTTTTTTCTTGTTGTTGTTGTTGTTGTTGTTGTTGTTGTTGTTGTTGTTGTTGTTGTTGTTGTTGTTGTTGTTGTTGTTGTTGTTGTTGTTGTTGTTGTTGTTGTTGTTGTTGTTGTTGTTGTTGTTTTTGTTGTTGTTGTTGTTGTTGTTGCTGTTGTTGTTGTTGTTGCTGTTGCTGTTGTTGTTGCTGTTGCTGTTGTTGTTGCTGTTGCTGTTGCTGTTGCTGTTGCTGTTGCTGTTGCTTTTGCTTTTTGTATGTGTGTGTGTGTGTGTGTGCGTGCGTGCGTGCGTGTGTGCGTGCGTGCGTGTGTGTGTGTGTGTTTTTTTTTTTTTTTTTTTTCCCTTCCTCAGCCTCACCTTGTTCACCTGGCCCTTCGGGTCCACTAGCAATTGCATGGGGCTACTGCACCACACCGTCCACACATTTCGAGGCATCTCACTGTTCTCCATCCCATCCTTCCTTGCTTGCTGCGTTCCTCAGCGTCACCTTGTGGCGCCTGCCCCACTGGAGCCACCTGCAAAACCACTCCATCATATACAGACAATTCTGTGCAAGTGCCTTACTGCGCTTGCCCTGAAGGCTATGGGATGACCCCGACCACATGTGTTAAGGGTGAGATTGTTTGACTTATGCTCGCTTTGCTCTCTCCGCTCTCCCCTCCCAACTCGCCCCACTCTCTCCTCTACCTCACTCACCCCTCTTTTTGCTTCCCTTCTCGTTCTGCGTAGTTGGCTTCATGGCTGATGCTGGTTCAATTTATGGGAAGCGGGCAATGCATGTATGAATGTATGGAGGGATGTATGGGTGCGAGAATGTACGAAGGGATGTATGGGTGTGAGAATGTACGAAGGGATGTATGGGTGTGAGAATGTACGAAGGGATGTATGGGTGTGAGAATGTACGAAGGGATGTATGGGTGTGAGAATGTACGAAGGGATGTATGGGTGTGAGAATGTACGAAGGGATGTGTGGGTGTGAGAATGTACGAAGGGATGTATGGGTGTGAGAATGTACGAAGGGATGTATGGGTGTGAGAATGTACGAAGGGATGTGTGGGTGTGAGGATGTATGAGGCTTCAGACAATCATTGCGCTAAGCCCTTCCTTGCACGATTTCTCAGGTGGATTTTCCAACATTTCTGCCATCAGCATCACGCTCATCGCAAATCGAACCGCCAAGGACATGGCTTCTCGACCCTATACCATGGGCCTTGTCCCGCGTTCCTGCGTGCAATTCCCGGATGCAGTGGCTGGGAAATTTACGACACGTTATCTTGTCACTTGTATCAGCAGTGCTGCAATGTGTGAAGGTTTCACATTCTACGCAACAGATTATTATGCAGGCGACGTTGAATGGAGAGCTTCCATGCTCTCCCCGGAATTATCTGCACTAGCGCTTTTGTGAGTGTTTGATCATTTTCCACCCGCACGCTACACAGCTTTTCCACCTCCTTTTCTGCACCAATCCTCAAGATAGGTAATGCTTTCTAAATATATTTTTCTCTTTGTCCTCTTATCTTCATTCAAAAAACAGGGATCGGCCGCCTAGTGTTGCCCGCTCGATGATCTGCATGTAGGATGAATAGAATGGCAGCACCGGCTATGGTGTTGTCTGCACATGCTTCAACTTGGATGGCTACTCCTTTCTACGCAGTGAGGACCCCTTATCCGCTCCACTCAATGGGGGACCTTTTCTCCCTTCCACACACTTAGACCCCTTCCGTTTCATTCAATGAATTCATCTTGGCGTCCACTCAATGATACCCAGACTACCGGTAGGTTTTCATCACTTAGCAACCATGCACGTGCGCTAGGGATGCCTTGCCGAAGGACTGTTTGTGGAGTTTTACGTATTGTTTGTGCAAGAAATAGAACTACGGTAACTGAGAGAATTATGCAGGCCCTCAGATTCGTTTTTGGCCTGTCTGATTCGTCAGACTAGTACACAATTTTAGTCTGAAAATCTCAGAGTTGGCATAAAAAAAAGGCTGAAATTTCAGAGTGTCTTTAAATAAAAGTCTGAATATTCGAAATCAATGTATTCAATCTTAGAAACTAGACAGGAATGATTGAATATCGGGAAGATTGGGTACAAGTACAAACCCTAGCAATTTGTTGTACCTCATATGTGCTACCCCACTACAGCATACACCCTAACATTATATATATAATTTGACACACCCCCATAGGCAAAGTGTTGGAGAACAGAGGGTCACAAGACCAGTCAAGAGATGCAAAGCAAGCTCACGGTGGATCACAACGTCACCACACACACTGAGCACAAGCAAGAGGCCACAAGGCCAGTTCACATGCAGAGTTATATATGCAACAAGAGCAACACAGTGATCACTACCTAGCAAGAGCAAGCATGCAGGTATATGTATATAGATCACAGTACAATCAAGTCTACAGCAAGTGTGGAAACGTAGGCACAAGGCCTAACAAAGTACAGAAGCGCTGATGATCACCAGACGGAAGTGCCTTGGTGAATATATCAGCAGTGTTGACCCGAGTGGCCATGTGAGCAAGACGAAGCTGACCACGCTGCTGCAAATCGGTCCCGAGCCAGGAAGTAACCCAGAGCGATGTGCTTCGTTCTGTGCTCCAGTCTGTGCTCCTGACACAAGGCAATGGCGGCCTTGTTGTCGATGTACAGAACTGGAGGAGAACGAGGCCTCTCTCCCAAGTCGGTCAGCAGGTAGGTGAGCCAGTGTAACTCCTGTGCAGCCATGGCTGTGGCGTAGATCTCGGCCTCACAACTGGAGCTGAGAACAAAAGACGAGCGTGTAGACCGCCAAGAAATTGAGCCAGAGCCAAGGCTGAAGGTGTAACCCTGTGACGACCGCTGCGTAGCCTGGTCGTCAACCCAAGACGCGTCAGAGTGTCCAGTGAGGACAACGGCGCTCCGTCCTCCAAGCACGAGCCCCATGCCCGATGTACTGCACATGTAGCGCAGTACCCTCTTCGCAGCATCCATGTGCACCTTTCGGTGCCGACCAAGAGCCACGTAGCGAGCCAAAAGGCCAAGAGGGTACGCGAGGTCAGGTCGAGTGCAGGTCATCAGGTACATGAGGCAGCCCACTAGCTTTGGGTAAGGACCACTCGACTCTACGGACTCGTCCGAAGGTGGAGCTGAGAGCGAGTGACCTGTAGCCAGCGGAGTGGACTGTGGGGAGGATCAGGTGAAGCCGAAGCGCTGAAGGACCTGCTGCACCATGTGTGACAGAGTCAGGGTGATGGTGCGCCGTGCTCTGTCCCGGGTGATCAGCAAGCCAAGGTAGCTACGCAGCTCACCCAGGTCAGTGCACGTGTGTCTCTTCTACAGCTCCGACTTCACCAGGGCGAGAGCCTCAGTGTCAGCAGTAGCAAAGACCAAGTCGTCGACGTACACGAGGATGTAGAACGGCGGCAGCGAAGTGTCGGTGCGCAGAAATAGCGACGGGTCAGCAGTCGAAGGAGCGAACCCAAGAGCCGCAAGTGTAGTCCTCGGTGTGTCGTGCCACTCACGAGGTGCCTGGCGGAGACCGTAGACTGGCCGCCGGAGGCTCCACTGGGTACCAGGAGGGAACGACCCAGTGAAGCCAGGTGGGCGGCGCAGCCAGATCTCCTCGTGCAGGCTGCCCTGTAAGAATGCTATGCTGAAGTCAAGAGAGTGAAGCTCGTAGTCACGCTGAGCAGCAACGTGCAGCAGCACCCGAAGAGTGGTCATCTTCGGGGTAGGGGAGAAGGTTTCTGGAAAAAGTCAACTCGCTCACGCTGACTGAAGCCTCTAGCAACGTAACGAGCCTTGAAGACAGGCGGAGAACCCGGCAGCCGCTTCACCCTGAAAATCCACATGTCATCGACGATGTTCGCCCCAGGAGGGGGAACCTCATCGACGTAAGTGCCTGTGGACTTCCAAGATGCCATCTCTGCGTCCATGGCTGTCTGCCACTGAGAGGAGTACTCACCCGCGATCGCCTCAGCGTAAGAGCGCGGGGTCGGGATGTCTGGTGCATCCGGGTCTCCCTCACGGGCAAGCAGCATGGCCACGAGATGAGGCACAGCGGCTGCAAGACACTCAAGGTCCTCGTGCCTATCCTCAAGGACGTCCGTGCCAAAAGCACACTCACCCCCGACGGACGGAGGACAGACAGATTCAGACTCAGCAACAAGACTAGCGGCGTAGTCTAGACGATAGGCAGCAGCAAAGTCAACAAGCTCAGTGACCAAGGCAGACGCAGCAGCAGACTCAAACGACGGGTCAGTGACAACAGTGGCTAACAGACGCGTGACAGTACGGTATGCAGCACGAAACCGGTCAGACTCAGGGTCCGGAACGTCAGGTAGAGAGGACATAGGGGGAGACGGCAGGGGAACATGCTGCGGAGCAGAGGAAGGGCGAAGGGCGACGAGGTGCGCGCCGGGGACAACCGGCGGACGCTGACGAGGAACACGACGACCGGTACGACCAGGACGAACAGGCGAGACAGGACGCGACGCAGGCTCACGACGCTCAGCAAGACCACCTGTCTGCTCAGTGTAAGGAGAAGGAGCAGGCAGCGGTGAGCCAGGTTGTAACGGAAGACCAGTAGAAGACGGGAGGCTAAGAACCTGGCGAAGCACAGAGTCAGGCGGTGGCTGAGACGACGGAGACGGCGGAGCGAAGAACAGTCGCGTCGGTGCAGTGCCACAAGTACCAGCAACTCCAGCACCTCCAGCAACTCCAGCACCCCCAGCGCCAGTACCTCCAGGACCAGCGCCACCAGCAGGAGCACCCCCAGAACTGGCACCTCCAGTCCCAGGGTCTCCAACTTTAGTGTCTCCATCAGCAGCACCCCCAGAACCAGCACCTCCAGTCCCAGGATCTCCAGCCTCCGTGCCTCCAGCAGTAGCACCCCCAGAACCAGCACCTCCAGTCCCAGGGTCTCCAGCCTTAGTGTCTCCAGCAGCAGCACCCTTAGAATCAGTACCTCCAGTCCAAGGGTCTCCAGCCTCAGTGTCTCCAGCAGCAGCACCCCCAGAACCAGCACCTCTAGCCCTAGGAGCTCCAGTACCTCCAGTACGAGCACCTCCGGGACTAGCGACTCCAGCACCTCCAGTAGACAAAGTACCAGCACCACTCCTAGCTCCAGCGACGTCAACAAAAACACCTCCAGCGGCAGAACCCCGGGCTCCAGCAGCGCGACCCTGACGGCGACCGTACCAGTCGTGCAACTGCTGTGAGGTGAGAGGCACACGCGGACGAAGGCGGCTACTCCAAGGAGACCGCGTACCAGCAGTCTCAGTACCCTCAGGCGTCTCACCTCCAGACTCAGCACCCCTTGACTCCACACGCACAGGCTCAGCATCCCCAGACGCAGCACCCCCAGGCGCAGCACCTCCACTCTCCTCACGTGCAGGCTCAGCACCCCCAG